CCCCCCCCATTTTTTCCCAGGTTGAACTACCTAGACTAGCAACACTTTTGCCTTGGGGTAGAAATGACTATAAAAGGAGAAGAAAAGTCACCTCTTTTTATGTCCATCCATAGCCATAGTTGCTCAGGAGAATTGCAGAGAGGGAGACCATGCTAAGTCCTGAGCTTCACTTGCCACCTTTTTGTTTAGCCCAGAGATTAATCTCTTTGAGCTCTCTGGAGCCACACATCTCATTCTCAGACTGAACGTGAGCCTGGCCAGTGTTTTGCTCAAGTGGGCAGAGGTTGTTGGTGTCCACCACTGAATTAGACTTGGAATACAGACCCAAGGAGGTTGCTGGGCCTTACAAGAGCTGAGCCAATTCCTCTAGTAGGTTGTCTTCTTCAACTTTGGAAGCACGGTCTTTCAGAATCCCTGAAGCAGCCCGGCTGAATTGGAAAGCCCACTGGCTTCTCTTGATCAGCTGGATCCAGAATCAGACAAAGGAATGGTATACCAAAACCCACCCTTACTAACTAGTACTAACTTACTAACTTACTAGTACTAACTTACTAACTAGTCAGAATTTAACTAGTCAGAATTACTTAACTAGTCAGAATTCCCAGCTCCAGGAGACCCATGATTTAAGAAGCCAAGGAGCACACTGAGCAAACCCATCCAGAGAGCACTGACGAATCAGTTATTTAAGGGATCCCCTTCCTATCTTTCTTTCCCTTCAACTGTTGAAGGATCCATCTAATACTGACCTTCAAGGACTCTCTGTACAAGCTGCAAAGGAAAGGTCATTCTTCTCTCTGCCCCCTTCTCTTTTATAATTCAGAACATTCCTCCTGATTTAATCTCCTTTCTTGAGTGAAGTGCATCTGTGAAAAAGTTGCTCCCCCTTAGCTGATATGTGCATGTATGAATGCTACATCTTATAAATTTCTCTCCCTCTTTTCTGTGTCAAGAAATCTCCAAAATTTTGCCTTTCTTTGTTGTGGCAAGAATCTTTATGTTTCTCTTTCTGCTTTCTTCTATAGCTGGCCACTTATAAAGTGACTAACTTCTTTAAACGTCCATTTCCCTGCCACTCTCCAAACCCATGCCTTTCTCTCTTTGAATTCAGTGTGCCATCTTCTGAAGTCCTTGCATTCTGCTAATTGAATTGAACAATGTGCTGAATTCTCATGGATTATCATTGCTTCTTATTTTTATTGCACTATATAGTAACTTTAAAAGTTTGTGCTACACTTTCCATAAATTGGCAACTGTTTCTTATTTGACTGCCTGTATGTCATTAATTTCAATGATAGATAATAGTTTCCTTTTGGGACTTTGGGACACCTAAGCCCGTTTAATAATGGATAGTGTGAATGTCCAACAGAACTGGCAGAGTGGCAGGACCAAATTCATAATAGGGAACATCACTGTTAATGCTTAATAATCATAATGGTTACTTGGATCTTCTGATACTGGGTGCTAGGTATAATGCTCTCAATAAGAACCAATTTTGCAAATATTTGCAAATAGAAAATGAATTTTTCTCTCATGAGCCAAATGTCACATAATATGTATGTAGTAGTGGATGCACAAACTGAGGGGCGGTGAAGCAAGCTTTCCTATAAGTGTAACAACTCAGTGAATAGATCCTGGGATTTTATTAACACATCTGATGGATCTTCTACACCTTGGCTCCTTCAGTTCCATCATGCTGCATCAAGAAAATTTTGCTAAGATTCATAAAATCTGGAATTTGCAACACTAATACATGCACACCACCTCCCCCTGCTTCCCTTGGAATTAAATGCAATAGGACACAAAGGGATCATACCCCACATTGAAATACTGCCTCATCTCTTGACGCCGATTCCGCATGATTGCCTTATATTCACCAATCCGTAACTTCTTGCCATCTACTAAGCATGTCCGCTTTGGCCTGGGCTTGTACTTGTAGTCTGGGTACTTCTCCAGGTGCTGCTTGCTGAGACGAGCCTGCTCCTCATAGTATGGCTGTTTTTCAAGGTTTGTCATAGCTTTCCAACGAGACCCTATCAAAGAAGAAGGAAAAGGAAATCAACCCTCCCCTGTATGTTGATGAAGATTCTCAGTCATCCAGGTGGAATTATCTGGAGGTTGAGTCATGG